CCTGAGGTGAGCAGAAGAAGAGGGATGCCAACCTGAAGAATCTGTGTCAATTGTTCAACAGGCACAAAATTAGTCTGGAAAAATTTTTGAAGGAAACAGCTAAAGCAGTGAAACTGATATACAATTAATAATTTTAATTTTAAGAGGCGGGGGAATTAGAATCGGGGGAATTGTCCGTTTCCCGCGTGGGGTACCCACACTACTACTTCTACTTCTTCGAAAATTGTGTTTCCGTCCATGACGCGCACCCCATTTCTTAGGTCAATTTTTTGGCGCAAAAAAGTACTTGTCGTACTCGAGTGCCGTACGTCATACACGGTAAGTAGTCGAAGTACGGTCAACTCGTCTCATATGATTCACGCCCATCAATTTGCTGACGCTTCAAAACATCACCCAGAAAAACGCTTTGAACTTCACCTTCTAGAAAAATCTATCACACCAGATTAAAATGGGGGAGATCGATTTTTCGAAAGGGTGTAGTCCAAAAGCCCCCCCCCTAGGTTCAAAAATTGGGGATTACAGGTATTCTTATAACTCTTAATAGTAAGCTGCACCTTTCACCAGCAGGCCCAGCAGAAGGCCAAGTACCAATATGTTTGTAAGTTGAGTATATAAAGGGATTCCTCACCTGCAGTGGTCATCAGTGATTCTTTGAATATAATGTCAAAGCATTATCACTTGCTGACTTCTGCAAAATCTACAGTTCACCTCGTTGATCTAATGGCTGGTGCACATCAGATCATCAATGATCAGAAGGGCAGTCAAATTGCATACTACAATGGCTATTTAGAAGAAAATGACATGGAGAGCATCAGTGACTGTGAGGAAGAGGCAGCAGAAGGCAATTTTGAAGATGATTATTAAACAGTCCTTTTGAGGACTAATGCAACCAAATAGCCTTGGGTACCTTTTCAAAATCCCTATGGACTTATCCACACATACCCCCATTGAACATTAACCCAAGCGCTGAGAAACGAAGAGAAGTGGGACTTTCTACCGGTTTTCATTCGCATTTTCTGGCAGTCGGATTTATGATTTTTTCCAGTTGTCCGCCATGCTCACAAATGAAGGTGAAAATAATGGAAACGTTCTTTTCAATTAAGGTTTATCCTTGATACCTTGAACCCAGCTTAGTCGAATTTTGGTCAAGTTCACAACTGAATTCCCTTGGTAACACCACATTAAATATTTCGTCAACTCAAACCCCTATCCTCTCAAACCTCCAGAACTACAATTTTCTGAAGCCTTTTGGCTATCATTTTCTTGACAAAAGAAACTGAAAAAAGGAATTTCATGTGTTTTGAAAGGAAGTGGAAGTCAGAATTGGGCAAATCACCCCCTGATTCAAAGTTCAGCAAATTGTCAACTCTCTTGAGCAATTTGAGGCCCACAATAACACTAGATAATTTCCTGCTACTTCAATTAATTTATCCCAACAAAAATGCTTCTTTCCCCAACTCAAAACCTGCCCAAGTCGAATATTTTTACTGGTCCCTTGAAATTTGACTTACAGAGGTTTGACTACTGGATGTTTTCACTCCAAGTAAAATATGCTGAACTATGGGATAGGATAGATTGATAGGATGGCAGGTCTTCAGCTGCATGTGGCAGCAGTCATCAGGTGACCACCACATGCAGCACCTTTTTGAGATGACATTGTGAAGGAAATTTGTGCTCTTAGAGACATTTTGCATTTGTCAAGGGGTTCCAGATAACAGTACACTACAGGATGTGAGAAGCTGGTCAAAGACAAGGTACTTGGTGGCATTTGTCAGCTTCTGGTCATTTGTGTGCAATTTTGCCTTGAGAGTGAACATTAACTTGGCCATAGTGGAAATGGTGGTGCCACTAAACAAAACCCTTAGTCTCACTGATGAATGTGGAAAACCAAAAACAAAGACTTCCGTTGCATACACAAAGGTGAGGGTTGTTCAGACATTTAAAAAAAATAAGACCTTTTTGGTAGCTTGGAATTTGTTTTCCCTAAAGGAGAATAAATGCAATATGGATCTAAATGCTTCAAAAATTTGAATAGATTCTGCTCAAGAATCCAAATGACACGTTTACCATACAGTACTAAATTCTTGAATGCTTGCAGTAATTAACAATAACAAATGCCTGTTGCTTCCCCTGAATCAAGGATAAGGAATGAGGTGGGGTGTTTTTCTCACAGGGGACTGATAAGTTTGCTTGGGATGAAAGCACCCAGTCCTGGATTCTGAGCTCGGTTTTCATTGGATACATTACAACCCAGCTTTTGGGAGGCAGGTTGGCAGGTGATTGACTACATTCTGTATATTGTATGTGTTTTCTGTCATGGGAAAATTTCCAGAAGTACAATTTATCCCTTATATAAATCTCAAGATCACAAATGTATGAACAGTACAGGTTTTGCAAGATGTCGACTGATCAGAAACAATCTCGTAAAATTTTTCTAGCACGAAATGCATAAACCACAACAAATTATAGCTCTATATTTTTGAATATGTTGCCAAGATAAGAAACATACATGAAAACAAAACGGACATCTTATAAAGATCAAAAATGAAGTTTTGTTCTATCCTGAAAAATATTGATTTTTTCAATTATACAATTGTTGTACAGTATTGTGTTTTGAACATTACAAATAATTAAAACATCTGGGGGTGAAGACTAGTTTTCTAAGGTCAGGGGATTTACAATTCTACCTTATTTTGCAGAACATTTTGGGGGAAAGTTGGTCCTCGGCGTACCGATGCTGTTGGCTGGGCTGTTATCCCTACTGACACCAGTGGCTGCCAAGAAGCTTGGGTCCACTGCAGTGATGGTACTAAGAGTTTTGATTGGCATGGCTGAGGTATATTCTCAACATTACAGTGTACTCATCCATGTCTTGATAGAAAATTTTACTACATGTCTCACTAGGGTGTTACATTCCCTGCCATGCATGTGATCCTTTCAAACTGGGCACCACCCTTGGAAAGAAGTAGAATGGTTACCATGGTGTATGCTGGTGAGTCAACGTTATTTCAAATGTTCTGAATTGTCTCTGGCACTATAATGACATTTTGTAGGCTCACCCATGGGAACTATACTAACCCTTGCACAAGGGGGAGTCATGATGCGGGCTTGGGGTTGGGAGTCAATTTTTTATTTCTATGGAGGACTGACAGTGATATGGTTTGTAGCTTGGTTCTTCCTTGTGTCAGACAGTCCTGAAAACCATCCTTACATATCCAAGGAAGAGAAATTGTTCATCCTGGCAACTCTGAGCAAGGAGAAGAAGACAGTTAGTTAAGCATCACTTCTAAACCTTAAGAAAAAGACATCATGAACTTGACTTCCTTTAGATCTTAACCATGCCATGGAGGCAAATTTTGACATCAGTTCCATTTTGGGCGCTACTGGTGACTCACATGGGACACAACCTGGGTTACTGGATGCTCTTAACTCAGCTGCCAACTTACATGAACAATATCCTTCATTTTGAAATCCAGGAGGTCAGCAAGGCTCGTCAAAACATTCCAGAAGGTTTAAAAAGATTTATCTTGTACTTCAAAGAACGCTGGGGAGAGACGTGAAGGGATACAAAACGACAAACCTACCTGGGTCTATGTACGAGTTTATTACCTGATGACGTCCAGGTTCTTCTAAAACAGTTGTTGTCGTCAGTCTTTCTAGAGGTTGTGTAATGGTAACATTTGTGAAGCTATGACATGGGCAACTCAAGTCATGACAACTCAGTTCTTGAGAACTCTGAACTCACTCAATTCAGAAGAAATTTATTTTAAAATGCAATGATGCCTAAACCTCCAATATCTTCAGTTTATATTAAGCCACACAAGAAATTCTTGAGCATTCACAGTAAAATTAATATGTACTATACATTTTGTCTCATCCCAACCAGTACAATTTTAATGAAAAATATTTAAATCCTGATCAGGAACAAAACCGAACGAACTACAAGAAAGAATTCTTCGAAATCGAGTTCATTTACCGTTGTTCCATGCAATCAAAAAAGATGGTACAGTAATATGCATTTGGAGGCTCATCGTTTGAATTTCAATCAATTGAATACAATGAGTAAAATTCAGCACAAGCATAATAATAATTATGAAGGTTATCAAAAGTAAATACCGGCACATTTTAATATAGTAAAATACTGTTGCAAAAAATTTGGTTGTTCAAATTTCATTCACTATGTACAATTTTCAAGGCTACTGCAATGAAGCCACTCCGCTATTTGAGTCATGATGGTACTGTATAACGAATATAGGTGGACATTCTCTAGGAAAAAAAAATTCTAGGGGCCAGAAAAAAATTCGTTGAAGGGAAGCACAAATAAACCTGATGAAACGACCCCAAGAAACCTAATAAAAATTCCTTATACAGAGAAGATTGTCCTGTTGGAAATTGCTGTAGGGAGACTGACTGTATTGCGTCGCAGCGGATGTTTCTGCTTGTTCCAATAGCTTTGTTGGAATCGGATTTTTTACCGGATCATATTTTTTCATCATCGTGACAGGATGTAGAAAGCTCAGTAGTTTATAAATAAAAGAGTCTGAGTATGATTTAATATTTGCATTGATGGTAACGTGTTCTTCCTAGCACAAGGAGGATCAGCACTGTGTCTCATAGGAGCAGCCTATGTTGGTTGTTCAAGAACCATGAGTGTGGTTCTCTTTTGCATTGCTGGGATTTGTCAAGGCTGTATTTACTCAGGGTACGTGGCCAATCATCTAGACCTTGCACCACAATTTGCAGGTGAAGTATTCTGAACAATGAAACATGAGAATCATCTCAATTGTCATGCACTGTTTCATTCCAGGAACACTCCTGGGATTAACAAATACTGCTGCTTCTGTAACTTCATGGACAGCACCACTGCTTGCTGGGTCAATCACCAAAGATAATGTGATGCATATTTGTCAAGCATCCCTAACTTGAGTCAAGTAACCCATTGATCGATATTTTCCAGCAAACAATAAGTGCTTGGAGAACCGTGTTCTGGATTTGCGCTGCAGTTATGCTTTTTGATGCGATTGAATACCTCGTCTTCGGCAGTGGGGAAGAGCAAACATGGAACAATCCTGAGGCTACGGACACAGCACCAGCAGCTTTTGAAAATTCAGCTCGTACGAAAGATTCAAATCAAAACTACACTTGAAAGATCTTCGGCATACTTTTCTGTTGAAATGAACTAATAAGGCATTCCTTGTACAGTAATTCAAATTCAATTTTTTTTATGGGAGGTTTGCTACCTCAACTGGAAGAAGACGTATTGTGGGATGGGTCTTGAAGGAATACTCAACTGCTAATGTTTAGTTGATGAACAGTTTTGGAAGCTATGCACCCCCGCAGGCAAGAAAGCCAAGTTGACAGGTGCATTAATTTTTGATTCGTTACAAAAAAATCAAGGAAAATGCGAAATGAACACCGAAGCTTGGCCTCTTTTCATCTTTGAAATGGGTGAAAATTGGAAAGGTGAGCGCACAAGTTCGCCAGGATTCCTCAACCACAACACTGATAACTCTAACTTGTCCATTCTACGTTGAAACTAGGAACAAGCAAATTTGTGAGTTTATCTTAGTCTTCTCTCATTTGGAACAAATTGATAATTTGAAATGCTTGTTTAAAATGTTGGTTACGTATGTATCTCCAAGGGAAAACGCGTCGCGCATTACGGTAGTTCCTCACATGGAGACATAAACAAGCTTTGTAAACCGGGACATACTGTAATAGGATATGATCAAGGGTAACACAGAAGAGCACATAAGCTCAAATGATGGGCTGACTTCATGTCCGCATTTGTGAACCGGATTCATATAGGACAATCCGGAATCTGTGTCACCCACGAACACGGACTGCCTTGAATAATCATCGGGATTCTCTTCCGTTCTCAAAATGAATGTTGAAAATGATACGGATGGTTCATGAATACCCCGGTTTAGGTGTGACCAAATAAGATGAGTAAATACCTTTAGTTGGCTGAGTTTTTCGAAAACCCTGACAAGAGTCAAATCCAGGTGTTCCAATTCCTCGAAACAACTTCATGACTCATCCTCACCGAATCCACCATCACTGATGAAGTCCTGGGCCACAGCAGTTTTCCAACGCCCCTTTCACCATCCATGGCAGTCAGCTTCCAAAGAAAACCCGGCAGAACTGGAAGGGTGGTTCGAAAATGACACAGCAAATATTCCTTTCAATTGGAACTGGTGAAGGCATTACAGTACTTTGAATTGATGCCAAGTCTATTTCAAGAATATTGGAGGAGTTTCTGGCATAAAAAAAAAAATCCGCCAGATGTGAGCCTCATCTTTCGAGTCCAGAGCAGAGATGCCAGGGTGACTTTTGCAAAATTTTCCAGAAAAATATGTTTCCGTGCCAGAGGATGTAACTCCTGAAAAATATTTGTTTTCAATCTGATCACAGGCTGTATTAATTTTAAATTTTTAAATTTGAACTTTCGTCGAACCTTGCATGCTGAACATTTTCAGTTCCAGAAAGTTCCATAAACCACCAACTGGGATAATGTTGGCAGATTATGGAGGGGAAAAAAAAGGTGGACAGCCCTATTGGACTCAGAAAAATCAAGGCGGTCTATGGAGATTACGCCATCTTTTGAGCATTAGGCAGACTTGTTTTCCAAACATTTATGGTGGGAATCGAGGGTGGCGGTTTAACAGCGTTTGACTGTACATCTGTACTTCACCGTGCATATAACTTCGATTTTCTAAGGACTTCCGCAACATACCTGAAGATGAACAGTACACCCCTTTACTCAATTCCAAACCCATAGACGTTGAATGATATGTGCAAGTAAATGATGAACATCAATGCAAGGTGGACTCTCTACAGCAAAATTCAACCAACAAGAAAATACTTGCAATAAACCCCCATAGATTGAGGAGAAGACCTTACATCAGCTGAAATATTTTTTTTAGCAGAAATATTGAGAGAGTTGATCATTCTTACAAGTCCTGACTGCAGGAAGTTGCCTAACTGAAAGAAGTTTACAGCCAGGAAGTTTCCAGTTGAGGAGATTCAAATTACATTTGAACCTCTCAAAGTCAAATTTCTAGGGACCAGGAAAGATAATTGACTAAGGCGGGCTTTGAGTTAACGAAACAAGCAGTTTCACTGAAAGGAGAAGTAAAAATATAAAATAACAGTAGGAAATTCTAGATGAGGATATTCTGGGCAACTTGCTTTCCAATGAGTTGACAGCTTATACCCTTTCCCTTCATTTCTAGATTCATTTCATCATTTGTTTTATTCATTTCATCTTTCACATTTCAAGGAAATAATAACCAAAAGGCCTCAAATAATCTTAAATGCAGAGGTTTGAGAGAAAAAGACTGAGTTAGGGTGGTTTTAATGCAATGTTTATAAAGGAATCCAGAAGGACTAAAAAAAAAGCAGGTATTTGACTCACCAAGGTTTAACTTGTCAAGGTTCAACTGTCAGTGTTCCCAAACGGCAAGAGTTGGTCAGAGAGATTCAAGGAAAATTGGATTATGGAGGTAGCATTGGATACAAATTGAAATTCCATACATTCGTAGGTAATGAAAAACGAGCAACACTGGTTATTGAATACACTGTAGAACGGTTTTCCCCTACCTTTTTGGGGCCAGGGACTGGCGAATTTTCATTTCATCCCCTGTAGACCAGCAAAGTCCCCAAAATTCATCTGCAGACCAGCAAAATTTCATAAAATGTTTTTAGACCCCAAAATTTTCTCGTCGAAGGCTTACCACAGGTATAAGAAAATTTTCAGCTTTTATTTCAACAAAGGAGAACCAATGCAGCAGCTATAAAGTGAGAAGTCTCCAAAAAACTTAGGAAGGTGCACTTGAAGAGGGCTTTATGGAATCAAAAAATTAAAATTAATTATTTCCGTATAAGAAAATTTGGCTGAAGTGTTCAGAGGAAAGCAAACTTTTTTCTCATCAGATTATATCAACTGCCATTATTTTTACAACATTTCAGAAAAAGATAACATACTTAATTGCTACTTCTGATGAAGTCATTCTGCTGCAGAAAATCTCCCCCAGACCAGCAAAAATCTTCCATAGACCGGCACTAGTCCCCGGACCACTGATCGGGGAACACTGCTGCATAAAATTCCACGATTCATCAACAACTACAGCAGTGCTTCAATACTGGCCTTTTACTCAGCTGTCCTTCCTCACTGGTTTCTGTTTCCAGGTCCGGATCAACTGCAGGTGAAGCTAACTCGTTCTTACTGGCTTCGCTTTCACGAACTTCAGCCACGTCATCCCCGAAAGACCTGTTGAACCCAGCAACCAGCAATGCAGCTTCGTATCATCAGCAGACGCGTGGTTTCCGTCATAATCCGTTCCGGATTCCCAGACAGCCAGGCCTTTCGATGAAAGATGCCAAATAAAAAATATTTACCAAACGTACTCAGTGCTGATGAGCACATCCCCTTAAAGAGAGACTGACATCAGTCGTTGACGTGTCAAGGATCAGAACGGGTTTCAATTCGTCAAACTGACTATCTTGAATTTCACCTCATTCTGTAGGCAAACGGCAAACCACGTTTTCAAGGTTAGCGACGTTTTATAAAGCCTCCACAAAGTTGAAAACGTGATTTGATGAATTCAACCGCCGTGGTGTACTACATTGGGCAAACCTGTTCTGTAGTCAGACTGGAACATAAGTACCTGCTTCCTGACTGGAATCAAAAGCTTCTGAAGCACTCTCAAACGCGCCCTCCACAAGCTAGTTTTCGCATTTTAGCAATTTTTTTCCGTGCAAGTTCGCGCATTTTAGAAACTCTTAGGAATAGATCTGCAGGGCTATTTCAAATTAGTTTTTCACGTTAACGTGCGGATATGAAAAAATAAAGAAAGTAAATCCATTAATTAAGAATTACGCATGAGTATAAGAATTTATCTGAGTATTTGGCAGTAATTTTTTTTACTAGTGGAACCTGTTCAGCTGGATTTCAAATACATGTTATCCTTAAAATTCTGCTGCAATACATGCCTAAATATTTTTGCACCTCTTGTAATTAAAAAAAAAAGAACATGAAAATGGGGATGTACGCATTGTTTGTATTAAATGGGGCACTTTGTACATGTATTACATGTACTACATGGGGCGCTTCAGAATTTATTACCACAACAACTTCATTTGCTGGATTCCCTCATCCTTATGAGGACGAAAATTTGTGGTAAGAAAAAATAACGAGAAAATCTCCAGGACGAAAATTTGTGGTAAGACAAAATAACGAGAAAATCTCCATTTCATCATCATTCCTTGAATCAACTTCAACAGCTGTTTAGTGTACCAGTTTATTTGTAATGCATTGTAAATTTATGAAAAATTTAACTTTAGAGCTGCTTTGCATTCTGCTGGGAATAGAATTAGTCTGCCTCACATCCAGTAGGAGAGCTTCCACATAAGGGAAACCAGCAGATAAATGTAAAATAATTTGAGTTTTTTATTTAGAGAAAAAAGAGTGATATTAAAAGTAATGGTATTATATTTTATTATCAAATGCATCTTTCAATTGGTATCCGAATACATTTCATACAAGGGGGACAGCACAATAGCAAAAATAGCTGTTTTGCTGGAAGTCAAATCCAATCTGAAAAATGGCCTATCCTGAAAGAAAGGCTCAATTTTAATGCAACACCTACTTTGATAACTCACAACTCTCTATGCTGGGCTTATTTTTGTGGCGCAGCCTATGTAATTTTTCACAAGCAGTGCACAGAATTTCAAAATTTTGTGTATGTGCAAAATGTTTATTTTTATGACACGAATTCTTTTTTTACAGGCTGTTCCATGTCTATTTTTAAGTCACAGACCTAAATAATTTTTTAAAAGCTGTGCCATGCAGAATTTCCCAATTTTATACCTGTATGCCATGTTTATTTTCTTGGGAACAGACCTGATGAAATTTTTACAGTTTGTGCCATGTCTAATCTCATGGGCCAGACTTAAGTTATCTCTGTTATAAATCTACAGCTCTGAATAGCTTTGTTGTGTTGTCATCTATAATCCGTCAGAATAAAAAAGTCAATGCCTCAATTGCAAGCCAACTGATTTACCTGTACAGACTTTCATCCATATTCAAGTTCCATATTAAATTCCATTGAAGAATGTTCAGTACATTTCCAAATGCATGCAAAAACATCTTGAGCCTTTTAGAAACTGAGTTCCTGAAGAGGTACTGGATTATGGATGAAAGTCTGAGTAGAAGTAGATCAGTTGGCTAGCAATTGAGGCATGAAGTTTATCATTCTGACAGGTTACAGATGACAACACAAAAAAGTTATTTATAGCTGTAGAATTATAACAGAGATGACTTAGGTCTGGCCCATGAGAATAGACATGGCACAGACTGGAAAAAACTCAGGTCTGTGCCCATGCAAGTTAACATGGTACACAGGTATAAAATTGGGAAATTCTGCATGGCACAGCTTTTAAAAAATTATTTAGGTCTGTGACTTAAAAATAGACATGGAACAGCCTGTAAAAATGAATTTGTGCCATGAAAATAAACATTTTGCACATACACAAGCTTGTGAAATTCTGTACACTGTTTGTGAAAAATTACATAGGCTGTGCCACAAAATTAGGCCCAGCATAGAGAGTTGTGAGTTATCAAGGTTCAACTGCATTACATTTTGCACCAAAATTAAGCCTTTCTTAAAGGATAGGCCATTTTTCAGATTGGATTTGACTTACATCAAATCAGCTTTTTTTGCTATAGCACTGTCCCCATTGTATTATATGTACAGTATTTAGATACAAATTAAAACATGTATTCAATAATAAAATTTCCTTCTGCTACTTTTAATTTCACTCTTTTTTCTGCAAATAAAACTCAAATTATTTTACATTTGTCTGCTGGTTCCCTTACGTGGAAGCTCTCCTACTGGATGTGAAGCAGAGTAATTCTTTTCCCAGCATAATTCAAGCTAGCTCTCAAGTAAAATTGTTCATACATTTATGGGGCATTACAAATTACTGCTATACAAAACAACTGTTGGAGTTAATTCAGGAATGATGATAAAAATGGAGATCAGGAAAAAAAATTCCGGAGGAATACCTTGCACATTTTTTTTTGTTATTTGTCTTACCACAAATTTTTGCCCTCATAAGGATGAGGGAATCTAACAAATGAAATTGCTTTTGGAAAACATTCCAAAAGCCTCCATGAAGAGATCCCATGAAGAGAAGGTTTTAATATACAGTACTGTAATACGAGCACAGTCTACATTGCCATTTTTACATTCATAAATCTCTCATTGTTGAAGTTTTTGCAAAAAATTAAAAGTGGTGAAAAAATGTGGAGGCGAGGAGTGCAGCAGAATTTTGCAATAATATGTATATAAAATCCTGATGAATTGACCTAATTTCCTACTGATGGTTTCAGCAGGAATGAAGAAGTTCGTTAACTCGGGGGGGTTGCTGGCCCCAGTTGTTGAAAAAAGTGTTGGTCAGCATTCCCCGACGACTTAAGTCTCTCGTGCGGTTTCTTTCTGCTTCATCTTCCATACGCCCCACTGTATGCTCCTGGGGTTGAACTGAAAGTGAAAGTCCTCAATGCTTGACTATTCCTATTTATTTATCACTTCTTCTGGAGGTCGGCATGTCAAAGCTTCTCTGACATTGAGGAATTGTTTGGTGCCCCCTGTTTTTTTTGGCTGGGCAGGGGGTTCATGCACTCTGAAGCAGTTTCAAATGCACTACTGTACAATATGCACTTTGAGGATGAACTGAACAGACAGCTCAAATTTGCTTCGGCAGATTTTGCAGGTGTGAATGTTGGATATAGTCAATTAATCATTTCCGCCATATTTGACAGTGGATTTATTATCAGAAATGAATGAAGCCTGATGTACAAGACCTTCTAAAAATTGTTCATTATTTTATCTCACCTTTTGATTGGTATTGAAGGCTCCAGCAGTTTTTTGAACAATTATTCCTGGAAACGGCAGTTTTGATGTATTGTTTCCTTTTATAAATTTTTTCTAACTCAGTTTCGATGTATTGCTTCCTTTTATAATTTTTTTTAACTTCATACCCCTGACCTTGTAATCAAATTTTTTAGACCAACTTATGGTCCCAGCAAGAAACCTATACTGAGGATGCCCGGAGCTGTCACTCGGAGCGGCATGTTCTCATTTGTCACCCACTCGCCAAACCATTTTTTATCCCTGGGCTTTGGACTTTCTGGGCACAAAGGCTGGTGGGCAGTCATCCCCAGAACCGGCCAGGGTGGTGGATCAGTGAGACACAATCGTGACAGGGAAGGTTACTGAAACGTCTGGGTTGTTCTTGGTCCTTGGCTTTTTTTTGTTCGGGATTGTTTCAAACGAAAAAGGGATCTCCGCCATCAGTTGCCTCGAAGCTTAGGTTTTCGGTTCTGAACTGTGATTGTGTCTCCCTGTAACGTGCAACCCAATTCTCCATGTTCGCGGGAACACAAAGGGATTCCAGACAATGGCAATTCAAAATTAAGGATGACGAACGGCAGGCAACAAAAAAATTCAAGCTCCAAGGCAACTGATGGCGGAGATTCCTTTTTCGTTTGAAACTGTGTTCGCGGGAACACAAAGGGACTCCAGACAATGGCAATTCAAAATTAAGGATGACGAACGGCAGGCAACAAAAAAATTCAAGCTCCAAGGCAACTGATGGCGGAGATTCCTTTTTCGTTTGAAACAATCCCGAACAAAAAAAAGCCAAGGACCAAGAAGAACAACCCAGACGTTTCAGTAACCTTCCCTGTCACATGCAACCCAATTCTCCCTGTTCGCGGGAACACAAAGGGATTCCAGACAATGGCAATTCAAAATTAAGGATGACAAACGGCAAGCAACAAAAAAATTCCATGACAAATGGATCCCAGGAAACACTTACATTGCTTATCCGGCTCCATAAAATTGGCAAAAAAGTCCCCTTCTCCTCCCCTCCGGACCCCCAGATTCTTGACTCTGATAGGGGGATTTTCATGGTAGCATTCTGGGGATGAAGGATGCGGAACCAACATTGGAATAACACAGTGAAAAACGGGCGAGAAGGAAAATGCTGTGTATACAGTATACACTGCGTAAACGAACTTATCTACACAACTGCTGGATTCACTCCAATACTGCAAGCTGATTTTTCAACTATTCTAATGAAAATTTTGTTCCACTAAAAAAAACTTATAAATTCAATATTTGAAGAGGAAAAAATTCTTCATTATCCACTTTGACCCAAAGGCTACAAAATATTCAATTAAAAATTATTCCACTACCGAAAAGGCAAAAGAAAAACTCTTCATGATCCACTGGGCAGAATTTTCTTCTCTCGTATTCTTTTCTTCTTAATGACCTCTTTTACAGTAAATGAGGCCATTTAACTTATTATCTCCGATTTTGAAATATATGATCTTCGAATTTTGGTGTTTTACTGCGTTAAGAAATTCAATGCAGAGCTTGAAATAAATCACTCCGCAGAGAATTTTCCACGTATAAAAATCTATACGGGCAACGTGACTAAAAAAATTCCAATTTTCATCATCATTGGTTATCAATTCTCTTGGGCTGATTTTCTCAAAGGTTTAATTCCATTTCTCTACTCATTTACCCAATCTTTATTTTCAAAAGTGAGTTCATTTTCCACTTTTGCAATGGTCCCAGCACTTTGAGAAAATCAGTTCAGAGATGTTCCCTTTAAAGCAAAAAGGAAAAAAAAATTTTCCCTTGTGGCAAATTGTGCAGCAAGAAATTCACATGGGGCGACCTCTCATGCAGCAACAACTTGCACCAAAGGCAAACACTCAAATACATTTTCATCTTCAGTACTTCATTGTTCTTATTTTTACTGACCAACTGGACAGATTGGAAGAGGCAACTAAAACAAAATAATTCATTACATTTCCTGATTATGATCATCAGGTCTCAGAAGGTGTTTTTGTGGGTAACATTTTCTTTGTGAATTGTTTGTCTATTGCTGGGAAAGACAAAAAAGTACTGGTCCATATAGTCAGTCCTACTTTCACAAAATAGGTAGAAGTAAGTTTTCAAAAAGCCTATAAAATGAAATGTAAAATACTGTGAATAAGTTAGTTCAAATCTTCAATTTTGATGTGCTGGGAGAATGTGCAATCACCCCACCCCTGGGAACCGTATTCGCAAGTGCTGCATAACCACTAACCTCATCCTGTATCTTCCGCTAAGGAAATTCTGTAAGCTGAATTATGGTGAAAAATATCAACGAATTTTCAAGAAATCCTGCTGAGACAGGTCTATGCAAAAGAGGTGAAGCCTTGATTTCATCATAATTTTAATGGTAGCATTTTTGTTCATGAATTCAAAGCTCTCTTAGTCAAATTTCGAAGGAACAACCAGAAGAATCAGACTCGGAGAAATTGTATGTTGGGGAAACATAGAACTTCACAAAATTGTGAACGGTAGTAATCTGGACTTCGAATTGCTTCTCATCAGTTGTCAGGATGATGGACTTGAAAGCATCATTGGTTAACAAATCAGGGTTCTTTGCGGACTTTGTCTTTCACTTCCTTTCAGAACAGATCATGTACAGTACTTATCTTGCCTTTCTCTTTCCTGTCAGGAAAGTAATAGCCGTCAGAAATTTTAAGCCATGGAGGTTTTCTAGGAAAAGCCTTCAAATTAGGGAGGTTCTTTTAATGCATTGCTTTCACAGAGATTCAGACATCAGGGCCTTGAATACAAGTTTAACTTGGGGAGGTTCATGTTACCAAGGTTCAACTGTATTTTCAAATTTGGATGTGACAAAGAATTGGGAGGGAAAAGCTATGTACTTCAGTTGGGCCTTCCCAAGTTATTTTCAAAGTGAATAAAATAAGTTTGAGCATTCTGTTTTTGTTCGGATTATTCAGGGATTACTTGATAGTTCGCAGAAAATTCCGACTTGTGAAGCATTTCAAGTTCACCGTGAAGCAATGCCTTCTGTAAACGAGAGATAGTTCTGAAGATGTGCAGCATGATTTTCAAGTAAATGTTCAACAAAATATGAATCTACTTCAATCAATGAATAAAGGGTACACAAGTGCACGAATAACCAGACTCGAATACTTTTTAAATCCTCTTCACCTAATCACTTCACAGCACTCACTGCCTCTTACCCACAAAATTGCGGTCGATCCTGAAGGTGTTAAATATGAGTCTCAATACAAAATTTGAATTTTCCATGAAAATAAATTTGTTCCTCACCTTGGGTTTTCTTTCCGGCAATATTTCACTGTACAGTATATTCATTCGAACTTAAATTAGAACCGAACCACAGCACATGACAATTTCACAAGTATCGCATCACTTAGTCCACAATTATTTCATCATTACCATAGAAGCATGGTGCTACGTAACATTTACCGCAAGGAAGAAGATGCTCAGAAATTGTACTGGTAACCAACCAGCACAGGCCACCCTCAGAAGATGTAGTTCAGAGATATGTGGACATTTTAGGGGTCATATATCAATTGAACTTCGTCATACCGATTTCATTCGGTCTTTTCCTGAAGGTATGATTCAAGAGGGTCTGATTCATTTGACCCTGAAAATTAGGGTTCTCAGGCTAGCGGAACATCATAATAACACAGAACTTGAATTCAGTAATCGATTTTCGGAATTCATCTGATCCATTATCGTGCCTGAAGAGTGGATTTGGATTGATCTTCAATGAGGTCATTTTTCGTGGAACAAGAAGTTACTCTCATGGTGTTCATTGGTTAACAAATCGGGAAAACTCTCCATCGATTGGAAATGGTGGGCGAAATGTAAATACCTCTATGCAGTACTACAGGGCAGATT